TTGATTCCCAATAAACATTTGAGGCAAGAAGCCTCCTTGAGAAATGACCCATCCATCATAATGGGTGAAAGTTCAAGGATGCTTGGAGATGGTGGCAGAACATGACTAATTTGATTTTGGCCTCATTAAATTTTACAATCCAGTCCTTTCCCCATTGAGCCACCCGAGTTAGCTCAGAGGAGAGAGGAATTACTAGGTTTTGGTCTTCCAGATTTTTAAAAGTGCACCTATAAACTGTTATATCATCTGCATTACAGCCAGTGACACATTAAACACTTGTTAATAATGGATTTCCTAATTCAGTCATTGATCAACAAATTAAAATGTATCTCAAAATTGATAATATTAATAGTGTACATCAAAATAAACATAATACTATTAACTTTGTAACATAACACTATTACTATTGTAACCAAATGCATAATAATTATAAACATGATGAAACAACACTCAAAAACATAATAGGTAGAAATGTTAAACCCATTAATAATAATAATAAACAAGTTAAGCTCATCATATATTATAAAAAATTTAAAACAGTTGACCTTATAGTCTCTAATAACCCTACAACCACACAACTAAATCCTCTGTAAAAAAAAAAAAAAAAAAAAACCAATGTAATGTATCAGTTTACATGCCAATTCAGAGATTGTATCTCTGATACTAATAATAAACCCACTACATATATCGGTTTTACTACAACCACGCTCTCTCGCAGACTTACCTGTAACCTTTCTGATCTTAATTCTTAGAAAAACATAGTCATGTACATAATATTAAGCATATTAGTAGACAAACACAATAATACTCACACGTACACACAGTAAAACAAAAAAAATTTCAGATATTGGAAGCCATCTAGATTAAAACAAAGCAACCCACACTCAACAAAATTACATTTCAAACTAGTCACAACACATTACATTGCATCTAGATATATGGTTCAGCTGTTAATATTTTGGTCTCTCACATGGTACGTCATAGAACCGCATCATGAATTTATAACCTGCACCTGCTATTCCACAAACGTTATTGTCACATAGCAATCTTCTATGTCAACATAACAGATAATTATCATTGATGGTGAATATCTTTGTTTAAATGTCCATATAACCACTCTTAAGATGGCTCATGTGAACCAAAAGCTTAGATCAAGGAACAGCTTAATAAAAAAATATCCAAATGTTGAACAATTTTTGTCTTTATTTTCACCCAAAATTAAAGCAACCATACAAAGTTTATAACAGCTCATGATCAAATATAATAGACATTCATTGTCTTTTATATTTAACAATATGTATAAAAAAAATTTTAAAAAAAGAAGTGTGTGTGTGCATGTCATTGAAATTTACAAGGCAGCAGAATATTATGCACAAAAGAAAGGTTTCATTTTTTTTTAAAAAAGAGAGAGAGAGAGGGAGGGCAAGAGACAAATAAGTACAGATTAGAAACATAAATGTCAATGCCAAATTTTCATATGACTGGTATGAGAAAGTAGACAAAATGGCTTAAGGAGTGTGAATGAAAATGTCAGTCAAAATATTGTTTAAATGTAAATAAATAAAAATAAAAAGAAGAGAACATTTCATACTTCATGGACAATTAAAACTTAACCTTTCTAACTTTAGAACGTTTGAAAAAAAAAAAAAAAATTGAGATTAATTCAAGAGGAAATAATTCACAATGATTTTTAATCAGAGTTTATATGCCCAATAAATTTTACTTCAAAAAGGAAAGACAAAAAATATACTGAGGGTATATCAAGGGTAGATGGACTCAAACACTAAAAAATAATGTATATATTTTAATAAAAGCAAAGAAAATTCTGTATATTTTAGCACAGTATAAAAGATGACAGTATAATCAAGATTTCATTTTAATGAAAAATTTTACTATAATGCAAAAATTATCACCGAAAAAACTACAAAACTTAATAAAAACAGACAAGTACTCTAATTGTAAGCATCTATGTAAGCATTTATTCATTTCTATAGAAAAAAAAAATACCAGCATAGTGTGCCAGTGCCTAAGCTAGTTAGCAATATGGAAAATCACTAGTACACACACATTATATATGTTGTGTGTGTGTGTGTGTGTGTATGTATATATGTATCAGCCTTCTGGCTTGTCACCAATTATGAATTAGTATGATTTGAGTATTAACTTACATTTTCTAAGGGTCTTTGTTCCATAAAGTACATGGTCAGTTAACCACTTCCACAAGTTTTGATAACCTACTTTTCTAAAGAGGCCACCATGCAAACAAACCACATTGCTCACAAATCAACTTTGGTAGAATTTTTTCTTTAAAAAAAAAAAAAAGTCTTTTCTCCAAAATAACCCTACCTTAGTAACAATACAAATCTGATGGATAGATCGGTACGTAAACAACCTTAAACTGGAGATTTTTTTTTTTTTTTTTTTTGACCAAAAAAGTAATTTATTACTTCCCATTATTTTCATCTGACTTAGCAAATGTGCACAAGACTATACCTAGTTTTACTAAGTTATCTCTAAGTTAATATTCAGGCCCAATTCCTTAAGAGCCTCCTAAGCCATCTAATTTCTCAAACTAATTAACTTTTGTAATTAGTTATTTTTAAAACATTTAATTCCAGCACTTGTTAAATACAATCAAACCTTCTCTGACATCCACCCTACCCACCACCAGTTCTTTTACCATAAAACGAAGCCTTTCTACATTTAACTGTTCATTGACCATTTTCAAGTTTCCTTGGATTTCTAGTCACCCTGCAATAGTGGGTTACCACTCAATGTGTGACACTTCATTGAAAAATTATCGTTATGGCTATGCTGTACAAGTGGTGCAATAGATAACAGCTTGGAATGAAAAACCAGGGTGCCAAATTCATATTGACTATAATATGAATTTGGCACTCTGGTTTCATTGCATTCACTTACATATAAATACCCTAGGGAAAGGTTATGAATACATCTCATCTCTCTCCAACTCCATATCAACCTCAATGGGTTATTTAAAGCCGACAAAATTTTTATTGCTGGTAATGTTTTTCTTCAAAAATCTATTTCTAGGAATATTTTTCCTTGAGGAAATCTATAGCAGGTCGTATTTTTCCAAAGAATGTATAGCTGTTTGTATTGCTGGTATTTTTTTTAAAGTATTGCTGATAATTTTTTCCTTCAAAAATTATTGCTGGTAATAATTTTTTTAATTTTTTTATTACAAAGTATTTCTGGTATTAAAACCTATTTTTACACCAGTTTGGGTGTTAACTATTTGCCCATAGCTGGGACCCTAACAGGTGCTACCACCCTCGGTCAGGGTGGACCTGGGAAGACCAGCGATTAAGAGGTTGTTCTACGCTTGTCAAAACCTCCTGATCAGAGGCCTTGCTGTTGGACATAGTTTATCGTCATACCCAGGACGGAGTAGTGTACACTTGGCATTTTAGCCATGGTTTGTAACCAGTCTAGAAGAAGGATTAATTCTGAATTCAAAACTGGTTAGATATAGATCTAGTAACTCTAGCTAGTAATTTTAGCTCAGCTGTTTGAAAACACAGAAATAAGTGTGTGTGTTTGAGGAGAAAAATGATGAATATCAAGTGGAAAACCACTGCAGGAGTTGGAGCCATTAAAAATAGAAAAAAATTTAAAATTACACAGGTAAATGATTAATGCTGATAATGTAAAACAATCTAAGATGTAAAGAAATAGTAGATTAGTTTTGTTGATTTCTATATTCTTTACTATTGACATCACTTAGAATAAATAGATAAGGATCAAATCCATTGGTTCAAGTCTCATTGAGTAGCCAATTAAATCAGATTTCATCTAAACTAGATTTGAGTTAATGTTTTTCAGTTGCCAAAAAAGTAAACAATTTATACTGACATAGTAAGGAGAAAGGAGGTGTTTAAGACTATTCTTCTGTGGCAAGGAATCCCAAAAAGATACAAACAATTTAGCAAAATCTGGCAATTAGTCAAGTCTAGAAGGATCCCAATCTCTTTTGTATTTTCAACAGCTGTTGACACAGTAATTAAGGTGATTTTTTTTTTTGTATTAAGAACAGGTTTTTTTTTTTTGTTTTGTTTTTTTTCAAGAGAGTCATTTTTTGGAGCTAAGTATTGTTTGTTCCATTAACAAATGACCAGTTTGGAGCAAGGCTAACCTTTCGTTAAAAAAAAAAAAAAAAAAAAAAATGAATAGCCAACATAATTATGTGAACTTACAGCATTGAAAATCCTTATTTGGAATTTTTTAAAAATCATTTCCTGAGGTTGTTATTCCACAATGAAAAAAAAAAAACACACACACACACACACACACACACAGTGATGCAATATTCAGTGGGGAACAAATGGTAGTAATGGTGTATGACCTGCTAAATATAAATGTACTAGTTCACACATGAGAGCACATTTTGTTGAGGACTTTTTATTCATAGGTTTTCACATGCAAGTATTTAAATATATTTTTTTCTAATTATTATTGCTGTTCTTTCAAGGAGTCATCCTTTTCTCATCCCAACTTTATAACATCCTTTTGTTCGCAATTGCCATGAGGAAGACACTGCTATCTGGGCAAGTGAGATAACTCATACACTAAAAATATCTTACAAATTTCTTATAGTTGGCAGATTATATAAAGACAGTTCCCAAGTCAATAGAGAAATTCACATTCATATTACAAACTTTATGAGCACATTAATAAATACTAAGTTACAATGATTGATCTGATTTCTACAGTTTATCAACCCTTTGCCATTTAAAGCCAGAAAATATTTTTATATTGTAAGAACAATTTTTTTTTTTTTTTTTTTTTTTTTTTTTTTTAGATACTAATTTACTAATACAAGTCCTACTAATTAATCCATAGGTAGGGGGGAAGGGGTGGATTCATATCTTTCCCAAAAGGTATTTGTGTATAAATGAATATAACCAAGCTAACTGAAATTGGAACTTGGCTCTCCAATTTCTTATTCCAAGCTGTTATCCATTACACCATCTTACAAGCTTACAGCACCTGGCATTCCCAAGCAGTCACACATCTAAGTATTAACCAGACTTCATGTTTAACTTTAGTGATCATTTGGGCACCGGTGTTTCAACATGATATGGCCATAAGCCACTAAATTATAGGAATAGTAAGAATTTACTGAGATCTACAAAAGATAGATACAGACAAAAGGATACAATACATAGAAAATGAATGTGTAGTTCTAACCTCCAAGTGTATCATGTAGAATTCAAAAAATTGTTTTCAACTGGATTTGGTCAATTACTCCAGATATTACTGCCATAATCAATCATGATAGTGTAAGCATTCTGGGATTGCAAAGGAAATATCTGTCACAGATTACTTCCACAATGCAAAGAACAAATCACTGTAAGGCTCAAATATCAGGGGCAGAAAGAAATGCCGAAATCTCAATTCACAGGTACTATCTCACAAATCACAATGCACATAACCAATCAGAAAAATAAATCACTCTCCGACAAACATGGTAGCCAAAGTACACAAATTTTATTTCTGACACTCGATTCAAGAACACCAACTGCTTTTATCGGCTTAGCATTTTTAACATTCGTCAACAACTGGGAGAGGACACCCAATTTTAGCATATCAAAATACTTTTATAGCGACTCCTGCGACTGACTTATTTCTAATTTAAACATTCTGTCTTCAGCATGTCATGCAGAATATGTGCCCTTTTTTTTACTAAGTAATTTTCTTTTTTGTCACATTTTCCCCTGTAGGATACACGCAACACGCTGTCGCTTGGTTTGACGAGGTAATTTACCATTTTCTTTGCTACAGAAATAGAAAAAAAAAATTATCCTTGATAGTGCATGACTTTAGTTAGTAGTTGTTGTAAGGATAAAATCTTTGTTCTGATTAGCATTTTGCCACCTGCCAATACCCAGCTGCTACTTACTAATTTTATCCTCAATCCAAATTTTATGCTTAGACTTCTATCATGTTCTAACATTTTCCATAACTAATAATTCAACTTGCATTATTTTTTTATTTTTTTTTTTTATTTCTTACTGATGCCTTTAAACCAAAACATCACCTTATCCATATAACAGACAGTCTAGTGGATCATCAGTGAATGATGAATTAGTAATTTGGACCAAACTCTTTATCCAATACAAGAAGGTAGATAGTTTTCATTATGCTTTTCATTGAGAGGATATTTCATATCAATTCTTTCTACAAAATTTGTTCTTGCAATGTTGCTTGTCTTTTCCACCGAATAAGAGAACATGATTTTTTTTGCACTATCTAACCCACATACTTGCAGTGAAGATGCAGATAAGTAAGGTTTCAAGTTTCAAATACCAAATTGTCTGGCAAGACACATACCTTGCAAACAAAAGCATTGGTTAAGAGTATAGACATCACTTTGCTCATAATGAGTGCAAGTAGGTCCTCAATGAAGCAAAGTTACTGTTTGCTGATAGAATAAAACAATGGATAGCATCTTGCAAGTTCAATTCCAGAGATTATTGGTGCCTTTGCAAGAGTATGCTGAACAACAGGAAATTCTCAATCCCTCCCCTATTCAATCAATTCTAAGTCCTGATGTCTACTGCAGATAAGGTGGAATGCTTTGCTCAGAAATTCTCTTCCAACTCATCTGGAGTACCTATACCAGATTCCCCACTAGAACTGAGGCTACACCAAGTGATATGTGCATAACCTCGTCACTAGTCTTGGATATCATTTCTAAATTAGACTCTCTTAAGGTGACGGGATACCAGCCATTGTCCTAAAGAAATATGCTCCCGAACTGACCCCATTTCTCTTCAAACTCTACAACTATTGTCTTGCTGCTTCCTGCTTTCCAGCTTGTTGGAAGTCCTCCTCTGTAGTTCCTGTTTTTAAGAACTCTGGAGAACCTTTTGAGCCCCTATCACTCTACCACTTTTTGGCAAAATATTCGAGGCTTTAATCAATTCTGGAGTAGTTAAGCACCTTACCTCTCACAACCTATTCTCTGACAAACAATATGGATTCAGTTTTGCCTGGCCTACCACTGATGTGCTTATGGCCATTACTGAATATGTATATCAAGCTCCTGATAATAACAGCAAAGCTCAAGCTGTGGCTCTAGATATCTCAAAAGCATTTGACAGTTTGGCATGCTGGTCTTCTATGTAAGCTTCAGGGCTACGGTATTACAGGACAATTGTTCGATTTAATCCAATCAATCCTATCACATCATGAAATGAAAGTCATCCTGAACAGGCTCACTTTCAGATATTTTCACACAAACGCAGGTGTCCCCAAAGGCTCTATCCTATTTCTGATCTTCATCAATGATCTTCCTGATGTCATCAGTTCTCAAGTAGGCATTCATTCAGATGACACTACCATTTACTCCTGTCTCAATAGCAAATCTGAGCAGATGCAGTTAACCTGGCCGCTGCTCTTCAAAAGGACCTCCAATCAGTGGTTAACTGGGGCAGGAAATAGCATGTAAATTTTAATGCCCCCAAAACTAAACGGCTTGCATTTAACCACCATCGACAAACTTCTTGGTTTGCCATCAGCATGGCTGCCAGAGATGAGTTTCAACAGCGTCACCACAGCAAAATGACATGGGTGCCTTTAAAAAAACAATCCACGGCAATTTTTGCCTTCAACTTAAAGAGAATTTTTTTTTTTTTTAAATTAAGAACGAAAAATGTTACGTTTTTCTTAATAAGGTGTTTGTGGGATTTTTCCAAGAAAAAAATTGACTAGAGGCATATGCAGATATATTTTCAAAGAAAAGAGGTAGATGAAAGGCATTTCAATAAATGTTTACAAGTTTCTTTCAATCTTGCAACAGTTATGTCTACCGGAAATGAAATGAACATCATATGTACACACACACACACATTACATAGTAATAATGCATTTCATTTTAAATCAGCAATACTTAAATAGACTGGTCCCCTCAAAAAAGAAAGAAAACTACATGTATGTCAAAAAATCAGGGATTAATTAAACGTTGTATTTATATTGTAAACAAGACCCTCCCTCATCTAAAATAATAGAAAAGTAGTGTTTTTGATTCTAACAAATTGCCTGATCAGAGGAAGTTCTTCTGAATGCCAGGCAACTAAAATTAGTCATGAAAATATTTTTATCTATAAGAAATTACTAATTCATGTCGGAAAATATAGGATCATTTTGACATTTACTGTACTTTTTTTCAATAGTTATTTTTATTTTATGCTTAAAAAGCTTTATATTTTTTATACAGTAATACAACAATCTCATTCTACAACATATTCTAAGCTAATAATGTTGTAATGTTTGATTTCTTTTTTGAAAATGTTCCACTACAATGTATCAGTCAGTTATGTGTCATGTGTGATAAATGCTTGGGCGATCATGTATCTTGATACATGAGGCAGATTTTTTTCCCCCCACGGTAAGTTGCCATTTCTTTCTGCGGTAGACCAGTTGCCATCCATAAATCCTCTTCTTCCCCCAGCTATAGCTAGTGGGGTGGGGAGAGAAGAAGAGGATTTATACTTTTCCCAAGGGTATTAGCACATAAGTGAATGTAATGGATTTGACTGGAATTCGAACTTGGCTCTTCGATTCCTCAATCCAAGCTGCTATTCATTACTCCACTGTGCCTCCTCACTTCTAATCATCATAATCTGTTGTTTGTCAATAAAAATATTTGATTTTAAAGCTTTTTGTTTAATTTTATTATTTTTTAAAGATTTTATGTTAATATTACTTTTTATAAATAAAAAAACAAATTTTCCAAATTCTAAAAAAGTGCACTCATTTTTAAGAGGGTATGACAAGGCAATTTTTACCTGCCCCTATCTTAGGTTAAATTCATCCCTGGCTGGTGCCAAACTCCAGGAAAGCATCCCACTGCCTTCTTGGCCTCAAGTTTTCAACTGACAAAGTGGAATGACATTTAATCAATAGCTGTATCTACTGCAAGGAAAGTTGGTTCATTGTTTTGTGTCAGATGTTTTTTTCTTGTCAGAGTCCATCTTGTACATTTACAAATATACCATTCGTCCATGCATTGAATACTGTTGTCATATCTGGTCTAGTGCCCCTGCTGTTCATCTCAAGGTTCTTGACAAAATCCAAAGAAGGATCTGCAATGTAATCGATTCTGACTTGGCTTCTTGACTTCAGTCACATTCTCACAGACATGATGTGGCTTCCCTGACGACATGAATTTAAGCATGCCACTAGATTGGCATGTAGGTTCTACCCTTTTACTGCTGAAATCGTTAAATGTAACCACCAATTCTACTCCAACAGTTTCTTTTTTCACACTTCCTGACAGTGGAACTCCATTCCACTTATTTGCTTCCCTGATAATTACAATCTTCAAAAATTTAAATGCAATGTCAATCACCATCTTCTGTTGACTTAAAGCCCATTCATCTTTTATCCTTTCCTCCATCCCCCCATATACCCAGTCTTTTCTCTCACTTTTACTCTCTGTAACACTCTGCATACTAGTGGCACTCCCACCTTGCTTGGGAATGGGTTAAAAAAAAAAAAAAAAAAAAAATTAACTTGGTTAGAAGTTCAGTCCATGTGTTGGATAATATAAAAAGTCATATACTATGAGTGGAAAAGTGGAAACATCAGTTCCTGTATGATCACCAAAATTAAACAATGTCAAGCCTGGTCAGTACCTAGATGGATGACTGCTTGGCAAAGGCAAATTAACTAGAAAAAAATTAACTGATATATGATATCCTCGAGCATGGAAACAATCTATGTCCATGAATTGAATAAAATTCAGTTCAAAATTCCCAGAATGGCAAAATTAGCCATTCACATACAGGAAATATTCAGTACTCACTGACCAAGTAATCAGTCTTATTGCCGGTTAAGATTTATGGAATCTTTTCATTAAAACAATTATTTTTTTTGTTTTTAGGAAATTAGACTTCCCAAGTACACTAAATGTTATAGCTCTCTATAATATAATACGAGAGTTTCCTTTTAAACATTTTGTTTTTGGTAGTGTGGAAAGTTAACAGCTGATTATATCTATTTCTCTTCTGGCTACATATGCCACATATTTTTTTTTGTTGTTGCTGTACCTTTTAACCAGCAGCTTCGGGTAGATAGAGCTTGA